TTCGTTCTGTGTCTCTCGTCCACTCTCGGTTCCCACTGTTTACTTTTGCGCGCTACCTGTCTCACTCTTTTCCGGCCTCCAGCCTTTCCTGCTGGATGAGCCCGGGCGCTTAAAGTTAATCCATAGATTAGCCGCACCGTTATATAAGCCGCAGCGTCGAAAAATGGGAAAAAAGGCGCGGCTTATAGTCCGAAAATTACGGTACTTTATTTGACAAGCTTAAACTTATGAAACCTAAACTTTTCGATTACTAACATTGAAATCGCTTTAGAATTGTTTTTGTTATTGACCCGTATAAGCCGGAAACGCTTAAAACCCCATATGTGTCATTTAAATTATAATTGTAATAAAAGGACATGGCTTTTATCTGGGTTTACGTAAACTAAAAGAGTTTGAATGAAGAGTGAAAGTAAATGCATATGCCAGACCAATGACAAAGACTTGAATGAGCTGTGAGCGAATGGCTGATACCGGATCTTGTTTTGGGGTCTCTGGTGACACTCGATGAATGCGTTACCTTGAGCATGTCAGCGGACTCGTTGCGTCTCTGAGCCATGTCCTCGGACTCTGTCAGCAGGTCGTCCAGCAGGCCCGCCTTGTATAACTGACCCACCAGCTCACTCTGCAGGCTGTCCTTCACATGGTTCACCAGGAAGTGCATCACCGCCTTCGGCACACTGAGGCCAGACAACAACACAGGGCGAGGGGGAGGGACGTGAGAAGCAAAATCACGGCAATATGTGAAGAACTGCATCATGGTGGGTGAACAAAAAGAGTGTTGTTAGCTTAATGTGTACCTGTCCTGGATGTTTTTCCGCACAATAAGGAAGTAGGACTTGATGAGTCTCTCGATGACCTCACAGTCCCTCTGCTCCCGGGCAGACAACTTCCTGGAAACTGGAACAGGCTGGGGATTTAAAGACATTCAAATTAAAGTACATTTCAAAAACAAAATTTAGATTTTTCTTCCCACATCAAAAGGTTGAATAAATGTGTTTTCAGTTTGGCATTAATAGAAGTGGGATCATAGCGTGTATAAAAAAAGTGCACGTTGCCGCCGTCACATCACACATTGGTGTTTGGAATACTACTATTTCTGAAGCCTTGAGTTTGGTCCTTAAGGCGTCACATCATTTTTGGAGAGTGACCATATTTGAAGGAGAGGCTAGAGTTATTGATACGAAGGGATACTGTAGCCACCTTCCTTAAAGCCTTGTACTGCGGCTAGTTTTTGTCCATATGATACATGGCTGTAGAGCATTAACTAAGGTACTGACTGTTCTTTTGAACAACAACGCTAAGAGTGCACATGCTTTAAACAATAGGAGAAAGACAATAGACTGATGTTTGAGAGGAATACTGACTTGATGTAGAAGCCCGAAGTGTCTTTATCGATCTTTTGTTGATTAATGTCTAACAGTCTCTTTTATCGGATGGTATAAATAATGTAAGGTCAATCCCAGAAATGTACTCCATTGGCGGGTCGATGTCTGCAGCAAAATAACCGGCACGCTTAAAAACACACGGTAGAAAGCAATATCTCCTGTTATTGCCATTTTCCCCAAAACATCTAGGGAGTTATTTATATTCGCACTATGGTTTAAGTTATTGTCTTAGAGTTGTGATTTTGTGCCATGTGTTAGACGTGTGCCAAATGTATGCAATTCACTTTCCACTGGGAACAAAGAAAGGTTTTGATTAATTGTCTGAACACGGCAGATCTTTCCACCATTTATAAAGCACTTGAGGAGTACCCACCACATCGAGCAGGTTGACAGCGTATCCCTTATGAGGGCTTGATGGATACGAGTGCTGCAGCCCGGCCCTCTCTCCCGTTGCTCCCTCGTCTCCCTTCCTGATCATCCCCCTCCAGTTCCCCGTCCCGCCGTCTGTCTGCTCGCCGCTCTGAGAGCCGCCGGCTGCTGCCTGCAGAGAGAGAGACAAAGGGTGGGATGAATCCTGAGTTGTTCAAGTGAACACATTATGTATACAAGTAGAGCACAGAGGTCAGAAAAAGACTGGGAACAGTTTGAAATAGTAGCATGCCATTTAGTGCAAACAGAATATCACCCAGGTTTAGGATTGGATGATATGAAAATATATATATTGAAATAAGAAACTTTTATTCTCCCTGCTTTTTTTAGGCCATTGCAAATTAATATGTAGGAATAATTTAAGGTAATGTTATATTTTTGGGTAATTTTCAACTGAAATTCGAGAAAATATACTTTACCATGACAGTCCTTTGTGCCTGTAGCTATCAGGCTGCACAACAAGGGCTCAATACTGTTTCCACACACCCATGTCAATATATATATATATATATATAATATGTATATATGACCCAATTTCTATATATGTCCATTTTCATTTTCATTCATAGTTTATAAGACCCAATATGTATATATGCTCATTTACATTTAGATTTTTTTATATTTATTTCATAGTTTCTCATTATTACTATTTTTATTTTGTATCTTTGATCTTATTTTTGATTTTATTAATCTGTGTGAATCTGTGCAATCCTGTTTTTTCACCCTCACCCTGTTGCTGTTTGAACAATTGAATTTCCCCATATTAGTTGTATGTTGTTAGCAACAATCAGCATGCAGCAAAAACTTAGTATAGATTTAGAGAGTGAAGGTCAGACTTCATGTGCCCTTCAAATCACACTGCATTTTCAGAGGATTATAGAACAGACCGCCTGCTGCAACAGGGGTTTGGGAGACTTTAAAGAAGAACAACACTTTCCAATGTGATCTGAGCAGGGACGGGGGGGCAGATGGAAAATGTCGGCGGGCAGTGAGTGAACGGGACACACCTTGGCAGCCTCGCTCTCGAGGGCGTGAGGCTCAGAGGGAGAGAGAGACTGCCCACCCGGGCCTTTAAGGGACTAGAGAAAGACAACATCAAGAGAGAAAGTGGACAGAGAACTGGCAGGAGCTACAGGCAGGGGTGAGCAGGGACTTGGTTAATGACTCAAAGCAAAAGTGGACTAAATCTTCAGGTTCAAGACTTGGAAAAAATAGAGTTACTAGAAGAAGAAAAGATATTCAGATCATGCAGACTGACTGTACCTTGTCTCTGGGGACAGCAGAGGGCAGGTCTCTCATTCTGTTGCGTCTCTGCTCCTATAAGGAAAAAAGGTTTGAGGAAATGTAGTTTTCCGTGTCTCAAACAATATACATTCACATTTCCATTTATACTTTGTAACTATAAACATCTTAACTATGGAATCTTCAAGGATTACAAAGCAGAGAATCTATAATGCAATCCATTTGATTTCTACAGCACATTTAAAAACAACAGAGTTGAACAAAGTGCTGTACATCAACAACTGTATAAAAACATAACATAAATACATAAAAAACAGACGGGACAGGAAACAAATGTAAAACACGAGACGATGAAACTAGGTCAGAAGCCACAGACTGAGAAACTCTCCTCACGACGTAAAAACAATACAAAACACTATTCAGATAAAAACCCAAATGTAAAAGCACAAGTGTCTCCTGGCCTGTAAATGCAAGGGAAAAGAAGTGGGTTTTTAAACGAGATTTAAAAACAGGCAGAGTTGGAGCAAGTCTAACCTGGAGGGGCAAGTTGTTCCATAATTTTGGAGCTGCAAATATAATATAAAGTGATTGTATTTAAATCTAATATAACTATGTGAAGTTATCTTCCATTCCTCGTAACCTGACGCTGTCTTACCTCTATGTTATTGTTCATGAGGCCACAGGCGTCGGCAAAGTCAGGATGCTTAGTGTTGATATAAGCCAGCTCGATGGCCACCAGGTTGTGAACCTGAATAATACAAACGATTGATTAATATGTACTGGGATGCTCATAAACGTCACTGACAGATGCTCTGAAGTATTTAGTGTGAGCAGGTCCTCACCATCTCGTTGGTGACTGGGAGTCTCTTTCTGAGTAACGAGGTGACCACTTCTACTATGGCATCGTGGAGCTTTGGAAACCTCAGTAACTCCTGCAGAGATAAACAGATGTCATAATAAGAATTAATAATTCCTTATATTTATTATAGCGCTTTTCAATGACTCAAAGCGCTTTACAGATACACATTACACATACATATCATACATACATGTAATGGTCATGTACTGTGGACAATAGCCAGCAAATTCAGGTGAAGTGTCTTGCCCAAGGACGCAGCGGCGGCGGGTTTTGCCCCCTTGATCTGATGATCAATGCACAGCCCACTGCGCCACACCGCCCATCTTCACACCTCGAAGTCATCAAGGCGCTTTACGAGTACACATTGATATCATACATGTACTGTGGACAATACCCACAGGAGCACATTTGGGGAAAGTGTCTTGCCCATGAAAGGACACGACGGGCCTGACGCGGGGCGTGGAGTGGGCGGGCGGGAGCGGCGGTTTCGAACTGCGAGTTTCCCAACGCCCCGCTTGATCTGATAATCAAACGCCACAGCCACTCGCCGCCGATAAGTGCGCTTGTAGTGAATTCGATACAGCAGTGATGTTTTGATCCAAAAGTGTGACCAGACACAAACAGCAGCTGGATTCAGGTTAACAGCACGCCTGCGTTCTAGGGTGGGGCGGTATACCGC